TTATATAGATATATGTGTGTGTGGAGGCATTGACGTGGAGTAGGCTGGAGAAGATTTTAGAAAAATATAAAGAGAATCAGAGCTTCAGTTTTAAAGGAGATTCTTGTGAGCTTTTAGAGATATTATTAAAGGCTTTGATTTCAACTAGAGACGACAGAGATTTAATAGAATATTTTCAAAAAAAGTCTGTGAGTTTTGGTGAGCCTAATGCGCTATTGAGATCATCTTTCGGGAGAGGGATTTGTTGCTTTCAGGAGGAAGCTCTGTTGGTTGAAGGGAGTTCGCCATGCAGTTTAGAAGACGTGTGGTGCATGCTAAACAAATCACTGTAGAGATTCGTCACAGCGGCATCGTTGTCTAGGAGGGAGTCCTTGAGTGAATAAGTCCGTTCGGTGTTTATAATTTCTGGAACATAGTGAACTATTTATTGTCTAGGCGTGGCCCCGCAGAGTAGGTGTGAGCACCGAATTGCAATATCATATTGTGTGTTCCTTTACTTTCTGCACTTTATCTTACTCGAACAATTTGAACAGTAAGAAATCCAGATCTTAATTAATTAATTCATCTTCCAAACGATGTTCCAACATCATCTGAAACATCGGACGTAACATCAGATCTAACATGTATTTTCCTAGGATAGTTTTGTGTTTTTAAAAATAGTGATCCAACCTCTTTGATTTATAGGATGTATCAAGTTAAGGGCCCATTTACTTCGTTGATTTGAGTTTTTAATTTGAGTTGAGATGTGACTTTATGTGAGAGCTTTTTACTGTAGTAAAAAAGTTAGACTTGACTGTTTCTGAGAGGTTTTTACTGTAACAAAACTCAAATTCTAAATCTTGTACAAGTTTAAGCACTTGTTGTTAACAATTGACTACAAATAAAACAAATTTTTTTTAAAAAAAGGACCTTCGTATAACTCAGAGAACAAAGCATACTTTTGTAATTTTCCCCATTGTATTATTTTCTTGGTGGAAAGTCTTTTTCATACAGATACATCTAATGCAGTTTTTTCTACGCATAATACATCTCGTGAACTTAGTGAAAACAAAAACAAAAATCTGACGCTACAAAGAAGAGGATAATAACATTTACATCATGAATCCGTGACTGACTTCCGATATTTATAGATTAGCTAACTTTGAGGTCGGAGTCAGAAAAATAAATGAGGATAAGTAAGTATATAACTTTAGATTTTGAAGAGGAAACAAACATATAATTTCTAGATTTTAAGAAGGGGCAAATAATACATTTAGCAGAATATACATATAAAATCAAAATAAAAAGAATTACCATCGATCATTTGTATAGCTCTGCCCCTATTATCTCAAACATATCCAAACCTCGTGAATAAGAAAATGGTAATAATAATAATAACAACAACAACAACAAAAACTCATTCCATAACAAAACCTACAACATGACATTACCTTGCGCGCATTATGTATTAATTGGCTAAGCTTGACACATCAGTACGTTTGATGTGAATTGTGATATAAATTTTCCAATAAAATGTGTTACGAATATCTGTCACAAAGTTATTAATGCTGGTCCAAGTTTGTGCAAATTGGCTTCAGAATCGAATTGAATGACGGACAAAAAATTCTTTGGTGCTTGCGTAGAGGACTTGAAAACTTCAGCTAGTCAAGCACACTAAAGAAATGTGCATTATTTCTCAGTCCAAGTGAAGTAATTAATTAAATAGATTAGATACGAAATTAATATGACAGTTGAGCATTCAAAGGCTTACTTAATAGTATACAGTTGCATATTCGCACAGTTGGATATACTTGATTCTTGATCATCATATAACTATTAAAAACTTATCCATATATACATACACATGTATATTACTTTTTTTTTTTTTTAAATGAAACTAACAACTACCCCTTTATTAACCCTCTTATCTCTCGTTGTTGGCGATTTTTTTTCCTTTTTTCTGTATTATTTATATTATTCTTAGCATTATTATTATTTATTTAATCGCAATAATTCACCTGCTTAAAAAAGAATAAATAAAAAAGAGAGTTTTTTTTTTGGTAATTTGCCTTATAAATAGTTTTAGTTTTTAACAGTTAGATTTAATTAAAATCACATTAGAATAAAAAGTACACAGAACAGACAAATTCTGATATAAATTTAACGGTTGAAAAATAAACGACTACCGATAGTTTATTTTTTTAAAGAATGCCAAAGAAAGTCTCAATTAAATTTAGGAAAGGAAAAGAAAAAGTTTATGGGAATAGGGAATTTGGTTTTTAAGGCACAAAGGTTATGGTACGGTATATATGGTCACAATTTTCAACTTATGACAATTAGCCAAACAAAGAAAAGCCTTACCTGCCTTACATGCCGGAAAAAAAAAAAGAAAAAAAAGCCTTCAAGTGCACTTTTATTTCAGCAATTAGAAATTGTCTTAAGAGTGCGTTTGGTGTAAAGATTTGTGTTATGGTTTGAATCATAATTCATAATTCATACAGTATTTTCTTTCATAAAAAATACACATAAACTAAAAATGGTTCTGAATTTATAAACCAAACATTTCCTAAAAAAATCAAAACATCGTAAATCTTGGAGGAGCAGAGTTTCTTCTTCTTCTTCTTCTTCTGATTATTATTATTATTTTATGTATATTACTTTATTCTTATTGTTTTATGTATATTACTTTATTCTTATTGTTGTTGTTATTAAGAGATAGCAGGTACTGCATTTCGTGCCAAATAACAAATAATGCTACGTACGTACGATATGGATTGTCAAAGGAAAATCAATATTGAATCATACTTCATCATATATGTTATCTCTTTGCTAATTTGCTGTCTTGCAATCATTTTACAACATATAAATATATATATATATATATATATATATTTCCTGTCGTGTCCCCTTATATATTTTTATCTCTCCAGCTCATTAAGTAGAAGTACTGGTAAGAGTAATATTAACGTTACTTTTTCTTGTCTCTCTCTTTATTATTTTTTATATTTACTGTTTGACATATTAATTTTATTAACATGATATATTATTTAAATAAAAAATGAGATAATAGAATTCACATGTTAAATAATAAATATAAAAAATGATAAAAATAGTTGTTGAAAAAATAGTATCATTAACATTTCTCTTTTATGTATATACAAAAACTACATATATGATCTACGAATCTCTCGTCTTATATACATATATAATACGTTATATCATCATCTATTGAAATCCAAAAACATCATTTTCTTCGACGGATCAAGGCATTAACTATTGTTAGGTTCAAATTGTGACAATATGAAGATATGCTACGACCAAAGGCCTGTTTACCTGTATATTTGACTTATCTGCATACACAGACGGGAAGTTTTCTTATACATGATGTTTCTCTTGTCTAATCTGTCATAGCTGTAATAAATATGGAGTAAATTCCAGTGACTTTTCTTTCTTCTCCTTTTTGTGGATGAAACCCTAGGACCACAAGCTCTGTGTGTGTGTGTGAGTGTGTGTATATATATATTTATATATAAAACTGTTTGTGTAGTGTTTAAATTCAATAAACAAGTACATAATTACATATGCTTGCATGTGGGTCTGGTGTAAGTAGCTCGAACCTCAATGCGTAGAGCTAATTTCAAAAAAAAAAAAAAAAAAAAAAAAAACTATATACTATCCTCTCGTGTGAACAGTGACACTTGATTATAATTGATTGGGAGAATTAAGAAGAGTTCTTTTAGATAAAGAGATCAGATGAGGAAAAGGAATGCGCAATAGGTAGATAGAAATGGATAACAGAATCACATGCAAAAAGCTTTGAATTTTGATACGTTTAAGACAAACAAATGTACATCTTGGGGAAACTTAAAGCATATATATACGAGAGCTTTGGAAACAATTCCAAGATATTAGCAATAAATAATATGTGCACTCATGAACTTAAGCACGTACAAAAGTTGGCCGTTTCTTTGAGCATTTCCAACTCGAAGCCATCTATATATATAGCTTTTTAACAGAAGTGCAGAATCATAAAAGAATATAATGGAAAAGCTAATGAGATTAGAAAGAAAAATATATAAAGGGATAAGAAAAATGATTATCTTTTTTTAACTTCATGTAATTTATCTCTAGTTGTAATGAGAAAAAATATAATTTTTTTTAGTATTTACAACCAACATGCATGATAAGCCCCATCAAAAATCCGAATCTCAAGTAGGATTTCAACATCTTAATCTCTAAAATCTTAGTTTCTAACATAAGAAAGAAATTACCTTAAAGAAAAACGTGTTCCCAAGTGAATAGAAGCTCAAAACTTGGTGGTTATTTTTAGGTCTAGGTTGAAAATGAGTTGAGATGGGCTGGTTGAGTCTTTAGCTCATTTTCTCTTAAAAACCTAGGTTTGATTCTGAGTTTTGGGTGAGAAAAGGAGTGAGAAGAGAGAAGAAAGTTCTATGGTTGGAGTTCTAGGGTTTTTTGCTGAAATAGACCCAAAAATGAAGTCTAAACTTGATAGAAACTAAACAAAAGTAAAGTGGCCATATAATAGAATAAATGCCCAGGTTTTTCTAAGCCTCTAATAGCTATCCTAACCTCATAAAATCAACTCTAAAGTCTCTATTTTTCTTCTTCAATTAGGTGCCTAAAGTTCACTCAATTTGCTAACATAGACTTCTCTCACCAAAAATTCAAAATAACAACTAAGTCCTCAACACATTTACATAAAACCATATAATAAAAATATAAAATAATGATTCATCAATAAATAAATCGTAATAGAGGTAAAATATCATATCCAATTATCATAATAAATATCATTTTTCTTCATAAGTTTAGCACATTGAGTTCCTATATCGAGCTAGTTGCACTGTACATTAAAATTGAAAACTCGATTTAGCAAAGCTATAAGTTTAATAAAATCATATGATAGCTATAATAATAAAATCATATAATAGCTATAATAATAAAATATAATGCCAACAAATAACTTTGAGATAAATAGTAAATATGGTGCATGATTTTAATTTACTAAATTATTTATTATTAGCTTAAGACTTAATTAAATATGGAGTATTACACTATGTTTGCAACCACACCATATTTTTCGACTACACGTCGCATATGGTTGTTCTTCTCACTTAACTTAGCCTAATGTTTGCCTTCTTTTTGAATAACAACCTTTACATTTATGCATTTCAACTCTTAGAAATCTCTCCTACATACACACACAAAATAATATTTATAGAAATTTTATATGTATCAGCTGAAAACAGGGCAGCCTTCGACCTTGATGCCAGGCGCAGTAGGGCAACTGGCGAGAGGACAATGATCATCCAAATCCAAACCCCACCACCTCATTCCATTGATATCCCTTATCTGCAACGCAAAATAGCATAAAATCGCCATGAAAGCCACTCCGGCGTCAAGCCCGGCGGACAAGATGTAGTTGTGCCTAGCCCACCACCCTTTAAATCTCCGGTAAACCACGAAGTTGAAGAAGAGCCCAACGGCGCCCCAGCAGATGTAGTTGACGGCCCTGGCAGGCGGCATTCCGCCGGCGCCGCCGAGGATGATGGGGACGTGGATGAGTCTGAGGAAACGGTAGCGCGGAAAGGCCCGCGAGAGGAGGTAGAAGGGGAGCGGAGCGAGGAAGCCGATGAGGAAGAGGTAGTTCATGGCGGGGTAGTGACCAAGGCGGCCGAACATGCGGAGTGGGCCCACCACGCCCCAGATTACGGAGGCGTTGTAGAAGACGTCGTCGCCGGGGCATGTCCACGGGCTTCCCACCGGGAGTTTCGAGGGTTGGCAGATGTCGGTTACTGATGTCAGAAGCCACCATGCTGTTCCGAAGTAGACAGATGATGCCACTATGGTCCCCACTAGCTGCACTCAATCAGGAATGTATCGAAAGAAAAAGTTTCAACTGAGTTACAATTTTATTTAAGTTTATATTTTTTTATAAAATTTGAGTTTAAATTTGAGTTTAAGTTTTTTTTTCAATTCGAGTTCATAAATTTAAACTCAAGTTAATGAATAGTATTTTTTATATTCTTAAAAATGTCATAATTTTTTCGTTTTAATTTTCATTGAGATGATTTTTTTCTATACATTCACAACGAAAAGACGAATAAAACTCCACTCATATATCCTATTAAAATTTTTCATCACCATTGAGTTTTTATTAAAATATTATCTAAATATAAATTTAAGTTTGAGCAACCTAAACACAAACTCAAAAATTTTTTTAATTCAAATCATAACTCAAACGTACACATACAAACACAAACTCAAGTTACAACTTCACTTAAATTATAACTCAAACTTAACTTAAAATCATCACTCAAATCACCTTAACTTAAAAATACAAAAGGTTAAGGTCTTGACCCATATATATTATGATGTTTTCCATCTTTTTAAAGGGTTTAGGTCTTAGTTTCAAAATAGTATTAATAGTCGCACAATAACTGTACCAAACAAAATTTTCAAAGTGCTTTCTTTTTTTTAATGGACTTTTTCTGGTGTTATCTTTTTTTAGAAACACTGGTGTTTCTATTTATTAGTTGTCATATCTATATTAAATCTGCTTAAAAGTTAAATTAAATTAAAAAAGTAAAATAAATTCGATGACTAATAAGCATGAAATACCGATGTTTAAAAAAAAAAAAAAAAAAAAAACCTAGAGAAATTCCTTATTTTAATTCTTTGAAGTAATGAAAGTGTTTTGAGTACTGTCAAATTGGTTTAGTTTCGTGGTAGTTTTTATAAGAATACACACACACACACACAATATATATATATATATATATATATATATATTTGCCAATTAATGCGTCTCTTCTTGCTATTCATCTACTTCGCTTGACCAATTAAGACGATATGTACTTAAAAAATGCTCGTGGTGTGGTCCAGTGGATGAGCTCTTTTAGAATAAGGTAGTGTCTACATATGGAGTGGGATGTAAAAATTTTGTTAAATAGTATTTGGAGTTTTACTCAGATTGACTCCCGTTCGTTTCAAAATTCGAATCACAACTTAAATTTTTATTATTTTCTCACATAAGTTCAACTTTTACTTTTTTATTACAATATTTTCTCTCATGTAAATTCACTTTTCAACTCAAACTCACGAAACATAAAATAATGCATTACCTGAACAACAAACATGGACTTGGGAGGAATTTTCATGTAGTGTCCCAACTTAAAGTCGGAGAGGAACATTATGGCTTGTGTCATGCTTGTGTAACCATAGATCTTGAATGCAACATTTGCAAGTGGTTTCCCCGGATATAGGTAACCAATTACCAGTTCAGTGATGACATTTAGTCCTGGTTGCTGCAAACAAAAAAAGAAAATAATAATAAAAAAGTACAATTAGTATTATTTAGAGGAAATTGAGCTTAAATATTTGTACAGAAATTAAAGGTACCTGATTTGTGGTAGCTGTGATGACACCAATAGGGAGAGTGAAGAGAAGGGCCATCCCCATTGCTAGGAGGATACCCCAGTATGGAAGCTGCAATTGTCGGCCAAAGCCTTCACAAGCAAGAATGGCAAGTGCAAGAACCACTATCAAGATTACGTAAAACCACCAGTCCGGGACGGCCTCATAGTTTTTCTTCATTAGTCTGGTATGCACATCCCGGAACTCATCTCGAAGAGTTGCCTTCGTCTGTTGCCAAATCTCTCTATATTATAATTGCAAACATTAAACCAAAAAAAAAAAAAAAAAAAAAACCACCAAATTCAGTACAATATGCGTCTAATGCGTTTTCGGTTCGTGAGTACAGACTCGTACAGTCCAATTTGAATGAAGCCTGCCATCCAAACTTGCGTTTGGAACCAAACTTCAGATTGTCCGAATTGAAAAATCTGGTTTAAACCCCCCAAATCTAGGATCCCCCGTTCCAAAAAAAAAAGGCGCAAAAGGGATAACATTTGTACCTTCCATGGAAGAGAGCAACATGAGACAATGATGCAGCCAATGTTGCAAAGCTTAAGCCATAAGCGTACACAAAGAAGATACTGAGATTGATTTTGCTATAGTCATCGTATCCTTGCTGATTAAATGCAAAGGTAGTCTCATTCAAGACCACTGAAACATCATATTGTGTCCCATTAGCGTCGAAGACATGTGACGAGAAAATGGGAAATCTCTTGGCTTGATAAGCGTTGGTCCAGTAAGCTATTGGGATTAATATGTACAGAGTTATGCAAAAACCAACCATAATGTTGACAATAGCAAAGCCAGGGGTGGCTAAGGGAGATCCTAAAAAGCTAGCCACAGTTGACCAATCAAGGGCAAACGAACCTACTCCGAGGCCACGGAGACCGGAACCAATCTGCTGGGCAGTGACTGAGTCCTTCCATACCCAACAAACGAAGGAGAGGGCAGTTATAGATGGAAACAGATAGTTGGGAACTATATAGTATGCAAAACTTGATGCAAGCACTATAAGGAAAAACTGCAGCCTTGTTAAGCCTCCCTTTGGCCTTTTCTCCACTTCATGTAATGCCCTGCCAGTTTAGAAGAAGTTGTGATCAATAGGGACTTGATCAAAAGAGGAACATAAACTACATACATACATACATGTGTATCTACACGTATATATGTGTATCAATCAACATACACATGCACCTGAAGAGGGAGACTTGAACCAAGTTGGAAGGCCACCACATGTATGGTGAATCAACAAGAAATTTCCGGAAGATCCCTGCCCATCCATATCCTAGCATCTGAATATATATAACATATAGATATATCAGTATGGTATTTTTTTTAGTAACAACTTTTCTCATATTATAGATAGAATTGCAGAGAAAACACGTGATATTTAATTCTAAAACCACTACATATAATGAGACTATTCTTATCAATTTTGGAACTAATGATTCTCGGATTCAGTAACAACCTGAGTAGTTTGTGTTAACAAAAAGGCTGCAAGAATATGGATCCCCCGGCGATAGAAAGCCTTGACAATGGTAATGATGTTCACAGCATAAACGCCACTTGAACCTGAATTTGCGAATATTGTGATTAGGACGTGCTCTTTCAAGTTGAAGGGCCCTGGATTCAGAGAAAACGACCAACTCGTTGCAGGTATCCGAATCGATTTTCTTGGTAGTTTTGCAGCCATAAGAACCCCAATTGGAAGCACCACAATTTGAGCCGAGACTGATGATACGTAGAGCGCATTTTGGCGGTAACCGAAGAACTGGTTTAGGAATGCAAGAACAGCACAAGAAACAATCCCCAAAAACCATGTGCGAAAAGTCAGGCACGGTAGCGTCGGATCGTCTGTGACTGGAACCGTTAATCTGACTTGCTCAATTGGAGAATCATTCACCTCATCTTCATCTGAAAAGCACAATGAAAATAAAAAAATAAAAAGTGGACAAATTTGCAAATACTTTCTCAGAATAAACATCAAAGATGAGAGTTATTCCGTATGGTTTATAATAGAAAAAGAATACCAGAATTTTCAGGCTTCACGGTCTGATATGACATTGGGAGATCATTAGTATCTGAATGCTTATCCATACTACGATCTGTTGCTCTGTCAAATTATGAATCAGGAGAAGGCAAATATACTACGAACCGGCGTAGGATTAATTAATATACAATTCCAATAATTTATAAATCCTTCCAATAACGCAGGATCAGTACTTGTCACTTGTCATGTTCGAACGTAGGATCAGTACTTGTCACTTGTCTTGTCATGTTCGTCACTCCTTTAGCTATTTCGGCTATGTGTTCTGGATTTAATCGATGCAAATATGAACAGTCCAAGGAGAGGAATCTTTGATGAAAAAAGAAAAGATTCTGTTTTTCTATAGCTACACAAAAACACTAGCAGTTAAACTGATCATTGTTATGAATGTACTGTTGAAGTTTCTGTGTTTAACAACATATGAATTTACATGTATGTATTATCGAGTTAAGGAAAACAGCATTAAATTCGTGTGAGTTACGACGAGGACAAATAATTTATTTATTTATTGCTTGTAGTAAGATGCATTATTATTTATCACAAGAAAAATGATATTTTTTTTTTCCTGCGAGATAAAATCCTCATCACTCATAAAATAATAAATCTTACTAAATTAGGTTTTATCCACCCACTTAGCAGGATTTAATAACGGATTTTAACTCTTATGGGAATAGATAAGAGTGTGATGAACATCAAGGCACATTTATTGGCCATGAATTCTGTACCATCATGAATAGCTGCCATGGAATAAAAGGTGGCATGTCATGTCAGCTAAATTAAGAACTAATTTGCAAGTATAATATTGCCACTTGCTAAATTGGAGCCGTAAAGTATATAATTTTTTTTTGTTAAATAAATTCTCAAAATTATGTTGATCAAGGGACAAGGACTAAAGTGGCTAACATTGAAATCACAATATCAAATCATGAATGAGGTTGCAGTTTGCAGAAAGAATGAAATTACTAAAACCTCTCACATATTATGTTATGTATTGTTAAGTATTTTTATTAGTTGGCAATTTATTGGTAATCTTGTAAAAATTCAAAAAATAGGTTCAAGAAGATTTCAGATTGCGGAAGAAGAATTCGAATCAGATTTGAAGTTAAAGTTACAGATTTTATTGAGTTAAGATTTGAAGAGATAAGGATAAAAGTTTGGTCAAAGGAAGATAAGGCATTGGTTATTTGAATTTAAATGGGATTCTAGAATGAGATAAGGATCAAAAGAGATAAGGATCAAAAAGATTATGTGAAGATTTTATTGTGATGGTTATCCGGTTTTTTGGCTTTTGGATTGGATTCGAATTTGAAGTGAATTCGAATTGTACGTTGGCAAAAGAAAATTCTCTCTATATATATATATATATATTGGGATTTGAATTGTACGGGAGATCAACTTAGAGCCAATGTCATATCTAAGTAATTATATAGATATATGTGTGTGGGGAGGCATTGACGTGGAGTAGGCTAGAGAAGATTTTGGAAAAATATAAAGAGAATCGGAGCTTCAGTTTTAAAGGAGATTCTTGTGAGGTTTTGGAGATATTATTAAAGGCTTTGGTTTCAACTAGAGACGACAGAGGTTTAATAAAATATTTTCAGAAAAAGTCTGTGAGTTTTGGTGAGTCTAGTGCGCTATTGAGATCATCCTTCGGGAGAAGGATTTGTTGCTTTCAGGAGGAAGCTCTTTCGGTCGAAGGAAGTTCACAGTGCAGTTTAGAAGACGTGTTGTGCACACTAAACAAATCACTGTGGAGATTCGTCACAGTGGCGTCGTTGTCTAGGAGGGAGCCCTTGAGTGAATAAGTCCGTTCAGTGTTTGTAATTTCTGGAACATAGTGAACTGTTTATTGTCTGGGCGTGGCCCCGCAGAGTATGTGTGAGCACCGAATTGCAATATCATATTGTGTGTTCCTTTACTTTATGCACTTTATCTTACTCGAACAATTTGAACAGTAAGAAATCCAGATCTTAATTAATTAAGTCATCTTCCAGACGATGTTCCAACATCATCTGGAACATCGGACATAACATCAGATCTAACAAGCGGTATCAGAGAGGTTCACTGACCATAAGTTCGGTGAGATCTTGTGAGAGGACTGAGACTGTTGACTCCTTTCGTTCTTTTGGTTCGCTTGGAACGTTTTCAACTGGCTTGGTACTGGCTTAGACAAACCGGATTTCCAACTAGACATGGGAGTGAAACAAAGTCAGAGCAATAGCCATAGAATCCGTCTAGCTTACGGAAGACTATGCCGCCAACCAATGTGGCCGTACCCAGAAAAAGTAGTTGGACCAACGAGACTTTGCCGAGATTGCCAAGCATGACTAAAGGGAAATCCCTGTTTGAAAAAGAAATGGAGCTCGAACAGCACTTGATGAAAAATCTACCACTCATCGCCGACTACCCCCCTTCCTCCAAGCCCCCATTTCCATTTTCCCCTTCCTCTCCCGCCTCAACCTCGCTGCCCCTAACCACTCCCCTCCTCATCCGACTCGGCCGCCGCCCCTTCCTCCACCTCACCAGAGTCGGAACGACGACGATCGCAGCCGAAGAAACACACCAAAATTATTCCTCCGAAACACATTTCTTCATGTATATAATGTTTATTTAATATATTTAATAATATTATTTATTTAATATATTATTTTTAAAAATATGATGATATGTTTTTAAAAATTAAACCACCAAACACAATTTCAGTTTTTTTTTTAAACTGAAAACAATTTCAAAATAAAACTACCAAACGCATTTTCAGAAATAATTTCAAAATGAAAATAAAAACGTTTTCATTTTCATTTTCATACAGAAAATAAAATCATTTTAGAACGAATTTTAAACACACCCGATATTGTATATATCCATTTTCTCCTAAGATAACTTCAAGAAGGCTGGCCTAAACCAGTAAGATGCATTATTTATAATTTATTTATTTATTGCATGTAGTAAGATGCATTATTATTTGTCACAAGAAAAATGATATTTTTTTCATGCGGGATAAAATCTTCATCACTCATAAAATAATAAATCTCACTAAGTTAAGTTTTACCTACTTACTTAGTATGATTCACTTTATATAAGTAACGGGTTTTAATTATATAGACTCGTTTAGTTCGATGATTCGAGTTTTTAATTTAAATTAAAATATGACTTTATATGAAAACTTTTTATTGTAGTAAAAAAATTAAGTGTGATTATTTTTAAAAACTTTTTACTATAATAAAATTTAAATTCTAAATTTGAAGAATGTGATGAACATCAAGGTTGAATTCTGTACCATCATGAATAGCTGCCATGAAATAAAAGGTAGCTTGTCATGTCAGCTAAATTAATAACTAATTTGTAAATATAATATTGCCACTTACTAAATTGGAGCCGTAAAGTACATAATTTTTTTTTGAATAAATTCTCAAAATTATGTTGATCAAGAACTAAAATGGCTAACATTGAAATCACAATATCAAATCAGGAATGAGGTTGCAGTTACCTCTCACATATTATGTTGTGTATTTTCCTAGGATAGTTTTGTGTTTTTGAAAATAGTGATCCAACCTCTTTGGTTTATAGGCTGTATTAAATTAAAAGTCCGTTTAGTTCGTTAATTCGAGTTTTTAATTTGAGTTGAGATGTAATTTTATGTGAGAATTTTTTACTGTAATAAAAAAAATTAGATGTGACTGTTTCTAAGAGTGTTTTACTGTAACAAAACTCAAATTTTAAACTCAAATCGGTAAAATAAACGTAGTCTAATCTTATACAACTTTAAGCACTTATTGTTAACAATTGACTACAAATAAAACAAAATTATTTAAAAAAAAGGACCTTCATATAACTCGGAGAACAAAGCATACTTTTGTAATTATCCCCATTGTATTATTTTCTTGGTGGAAAGTCTTTTTCATACAGATACATCTAATGGAGTTTTTTCTACGCATAATACATCTCGTGAACTTAGTGAAAACAAAAACGAAAATCTGACTCTACAAAGAAGAGGATAATAACATTTACATCATGAATCCGTGACTTACTTCCGACATTTATAGATTAGCTAACTCTGAGGTCGGAGTCAGAAAAATAAATGAGGAGAATAATTCGTTCATTTCACTAATTTGAGTTTTGTTACAGTAAAAAGCTTTAAAAAATAGTCACATCTAACTTTTTTTTTACAGTAAAAAGCTCTCACATAAATTCATATATCAACTTAAATTAAAAACTCGAATCAGCGAACTAAACGGGCGTATATAACTTTACGGTCTGTTTAGTCGCTGATTCGAGTTGAGACGTGATTTTATGTGAAACTTTTTTACTATAGTAAAAAAATTAGATGTGACTGTTTCTGAGAGTTTTTTACTGTAGCAAAACTCAAATCGATGAAATGAACGATACCTTAGATTTTGAAGAGGAAACAAACATATAATTTCTAGATTTTAAGAAGGGGCAAATAATACATTTAGCAGAATATACATAGAAAATCAAAATAAGAAGAATCTAGGTGGAACGATCGCTTACCATCGATCATTTGTAGAGCTCTGCCCCTATTAACTCAAACATATCCAAACCTCGTGAATAAGAAAATGGTAATAATAATAATAATAATAATAACAACAACAACAAAAACTCATTCCATAACAAAATCTACAACATGACATTACCTTGCGCGCATTATGCATTAATTGGCTAAGCTTGACACATCAGTACGTTTGATGTGAATTGTGATATAAATTTTCCAATAAAATGTGTTACGAATATCTGTCACAAAGTTATTAATGCTGGTCCAAGTTTGTGCAAATTGGCTTCAGAATCGAATTGAATGATGGACAAAAAATTCTTTGGTGCTTGCGTAGAGGACTTGAAAACTTCAGCTAGTTAAGCACACTAAAGAAATGTGCATTATTTCTCAGTCCAAGTGAAGTAATTAATTAAATAGATTCGGTACGAAATTAATATGACAGTTGAGCATTCAAAGGCTTACTTAATAGTATACAGTTGCATATTCGCACAGTTGGATATACTTGATTCTTGATCATCATATAACTATTAAAAACTTATCCATATATACATACACATGTATATTACTTTTTTTTTAAAATGAAACTAACAACTACCCCTTTATTAACCCTCTTATCTCTCGTTGTTGGCGATTTTTTTTTCCTTTTTTCTGTATTATTTATATTATTATGAGCATTATTATTATTTATTTAATCGCAATAATTCACCTGCTTAAAAAGGAATAAATAAAAAAGAGAGTTTTTTTTGGTAATCTGTGTTATAAATAGTTTTAGTTTTTAACTATTAGATTTAATTAAAATCACATTAAAATAAAAAGTATACATAATAGACAGATTCTGATATAAATTTAACGGTTGAAAAATAAACGGCTACCGATAGTTTATTTTTTTAAAGAA